TCAATGTAACAGCTCTGCTCTCCACTAGATGGCACTGCTAGCCTACTGGGGTGGATTGTTGTGGTGCTCGTAGGTGCTTATGTGCACGTGAGGGAGCAGTGAAAATGGTGCCACCCAGCCACCCAGTCTGTTCTCCCAGATCAGCAATCGTGCACTCATCCTCTGTCTTCAGCTCTCGTCCACTTCATGCTTTTTCACTCTCCCTGACCAGGCCCCAGGCAGTACCTCTCTCCCGAGTTTTGTCTCAGATGTGGCTGTTTTCCCTGGCCCCTTACTTCCGAAGGACTGCGGCTTTGACCCGTTCAGCCCCTCTGCGGGAGGGTCTCACTGAGCAATGGCCAAATGAGCAATGGCCGAATATCAGCTACACCCAGGAATGCACTCTGGACCCTGCTGCTGCCAGTGACCCGAGACTGCGGCCAGGTGCCAGCCCACCCCAGAAAAAGTTCATGAGACAATGTAGCAGCAGTGTTTCAGGGATTATGGAAAATCACAACACACATCTGGCACCAGGCTTCACCCTTAACGACCTTGCCCCAGCACCAGCGAATGTGGCCGCCTTCCAGGATCTGTTGGGACCAGATGGCTTCAACAGTCTCTACCAAATGTCCTTCCAGCAGTGGAACCGCATTGCCCCATGTGGCCCGAGAACCTCCCGGACCCCACTCTGTTCCTGGGAATTCGCCCTTCCCACCAGAGCACCGCCAGGTATTGAGCTGCAGAGTTGCAGCCTTTGCACTCCCCTTGTTTACATTCTTTTTTAAAAAAAATTTTTTAATGTTTATTTCTGAGACAGAGACAGAGCATGAGTGGGGGAGGGGCAGAGAGAAGGAGACACAGAATCAGAAGCAGGTTCCAGGCTCTGAGTTGTCAGCACAGAGCCCGACGCGGGGCTCAAACTCACAAACCGTGAGATCATGACCTGAGCCAAAGTCAGTTGCTCAACCGACTGAGCCACCCAGGCGCCCCCCTTATTTACATTCTCAATGGAATTTAAACCCTCTCCTTTCTCCCTTTTTAGTCCCTGCAGCGGTTCCCTACCTTTCACGGCTTCTTGGTCCCCAAGTTCACCTCTCTGTGCCACCTACCTGTTGAATTCTGTGGTTCAGGTTGTGCAGATTGTTGTGTTAACCCTCCAGTTTTCTAGGTGGGTAGGATGGTTTAATGTTGGTCTGGCTGTATTTCATGGATACAAGACACACAAAAAACTTCCATGCTGTTCTGCCATCTTGGCTCCTTCCTGCTTTTGTTGATTTTGATGGGAGTTCTCTGCCTCCTAGATCTAGATGTATGTTTCCTTTTCCAGATTAGGGAATTTTTCAAATATTATTCTTTGAAATAAAATTTATGCCCCTTTTCTCTCTTCTGGGGTTCCTATAATACAAATATTATGTTTGATGGAGTCACTGAGTTCCCTAAGTGTATTCTCATTTTGTGTAATTCTCCTTTCTCTTTTTCATTCAGCTTCATTGCTTTGTTACTTTGTCTTCTAGGTCATTAATTCTTTCCTTTGCTTCTTCTAGCCTTCTGTTCATTGCATCGTGTGTTTTTAATCTCATTTATTGCACTCATCATCTCTGATTTCTTTTTAACTCTTATCTCTGTGGTAAGGACCTCACTGATGTCTTTTATTCTTTTCTCAAGTCCAGTGAGTGTCCTTATGATTGTTGCTTTAAATTCTATCAGGCATTTTACTTTTGGCTATTTCATTTAGATCTCTGGCTGTGGCCTTATCTTGTTCTTTCATTTGGGATAAATTCCTATCTTCTCATTTTGTCTAAGTCTCTGCCTTGTGTGTGTGTGTGTGCGCGCGTGTGTGTGTGTCAGAAAAGCCACTTATGTCTCCCCATGACAGTCATAGCCTTATAAACAAGTCCTATATTGCCCAGGGCTGGTACTTCAGGGAGTGCCTTTAATGTGTTGTATGTACTCTGCTGTTGTGTTCTGGCTGCTCTATCCTTCAGGGAAGTCGTCTGCAGAGGCTCTCCTTGCCTGCTGTGGACAGTGTTTGGTACCTGGCCTGAATGTGGCAAGTTTTAACTAGGTGTGCTTTGTTCTGCTTGTGAAATGAGTCCTGTCACTACCTCCACTGGAAAAGAGGCCCTGCAAAACTCTCTTGTTGGGACATATGGTGTGGGCAGGTGTTTGTTCTCATCTTCTTGGGGAGAGGCCTGCTGCACTGAGACTGAGGCAAATGTGACTGAAAAGGGCAGCTCCACTGGGACACAGGGGGATGGTTCTTGGTGTGAGCAAGTTAGTAGTTAGTATAGGCACAGCGCTACTTCCCATAGGTGGCTCTGTCTTTATGCTGATGGTTGGGGGAGGGAAATGGCACCAGCTGGTACCTTTATCCCCAGAGAGGTGTCCCTGTGAATGCTGTCAGGGACACACTCTGAGAAAAGCGAGTAATCTCCTGTGTCCCAGGCACTCTTCAGATTGCTGTTTCCCTGGTGTCTGTCCCTGGGTTTTTTGCCTGCCTTCTTTCTAGGAGCAGAGTAGTGCCCTCTGGGTTCTATCCTAGCCAACCCCACTGACCTTTAAAACTTCAGGATGTAAGCTCCCCTAGTTGCAAGAATTCATGAAATTCAGCCCCTCTTGTTTCCCAAGCCAATGGCTATTGGGAAACCTTCTCCTTGTGTGTTCCCCTGTGTGCTCCTCTCTCTTGCCCTCTGTGACCATAGCTCCCTGCCCTCTGCAGCAACCAGGATCCATTTTTCTCCTAAAGCATGTCACCGTACTTCCTACGTTCTTTGATGTAGCCTCTTCTCTCCCTTTAGTTGTGGAGTTTGTTCTGTCAGTCTTCAGGTCTATTTCTGGGGTATTCAGGATGATCTGATAGTTATCTAGTTGGGAGGAGGTGGGTGCAGGGTCCTCTGCCACCATCTTCTTTGACTACTCATCCATTTATTTACCACTGGGTAACAAACTATTATAGTGAAGTTGAATCTTGGTGTGTATATATACTTAACAGAAGGATGTTGACAGTATACTTTAAGTGTTATATTTATTAAGCAAAAATAAATTATTATTTATTTTTAGGGATCAGGTTGTTTCACATAACGTTGTATGTTTTATTTATACAAATTCTTTTAAGTTGCAAACCATCACATTTTTCATTAAAATTGAACAAGCTGTTAAAATTGCTATAGCATATCACACCTAAGTCCTCCAGTACAATTTTAAGCAAATATGTATTGTTGAGAAAGTACCAGAAGCAGTCGAGGCAGCAAGACTGTATTCCTAGTAAGGTAAACAAAAACCTCTGCCCTTTTCATTCCTCATTCCCTAAAGGAGTTATACTACCAAGTGAAGGAGTTTCTCAGCTACGGGTTTGAGGCCACAATTGCAACCTTAAACGATTGTTCTTGAGATTGCGGTTTTTGCAGGCAATCATGTCCAGCTAAATTACATTACAATAAAATTGTTATTTTAACACCAAACTGAATGATGGACTGAAATCTACATGTGAAAGAAAAGCTAGGCTTGAGGCTTGCTCCTCTCTTAAAGGAGTAGTGTTATTCTAGTTTTATTGACACATTAGTTTTCATAAAGTGCAGACACAAAATAAATAAGGTGAAAAAGGTCTTGAAGCTCTATATACAACTATGAGATTAAGTAAGTTACTGGTTATGTTCTTGATAGCCTTTTAACTCTGTGGAAGCTGTAATATACATTAAAAGCTCATTGATCCAAGTAACATAATGATTCTTTTTTCCCTTAGATCAGTCTACTATGAAGGAATATATAATTATGCTAGCTTATTCTATAAAACAAGATTAGATTAAAGACAAAATTTATGTGCTATAGGCTAAATCCAGATACAGTCAGGTGCTGAGCATTATTCCTGGCTTCAAAATAGGATGTATCTGTTTCACCATCTGGTTGGGGTATGAAAGGCATAGTTTGATGCTGCAGATTTTCCCAGTCCACATCACTGAAGAGAGGATGACATTTTAGCTCTTAGGGAAAATATAAAACAAAACATAGTATTATGACACCATTGCCTAAGTAAGTACTGTTTTACAGGAATCAAGAGAAGGTCTCACATGTATCTTGCCCTTGTTTTGCTTCTCACGTATGTGTTTAATTTCTGTGCAACTACATACTTCACAGTGGCACATACTGTGTTATTTTGTATAACACCTGACACATGACAGGTGCTTGGCCTGTATTTGTCAAATAAGCGAATGAAAGATTTGCCTTAAAAGAAGCCTATCATTCTCATGCCTCCATCTTCTCACATAATCCCTGCCTTGATGAGATAAGAGCTTGGCCTACTTCCTGTTCTGGGATACAGTTTCCACACCACTGATCTTCAGGATTAATGCCCACTTCTCATTCCAAGACAATGCTGCTGGTTTCTATCTCTTCAGTCCTTAGCACCATCTTTTGTCCTATGTAACTTTGCTAAGAACCCATCCTCCACTACCTTACTTTCTTCCATATGCTCCATCCTTATCCTTCATGGTAATTTTAACACATACATTGATGACACTTGTGAAATATTCTCTTCATGGTTCTTTGACTTTGATTTCATCGACTTGTATCTCCATTGTACGCTTCTTTAGCAGTATGGGTACATCCGGAATCTCTACTGCTTCACTTACAAGATCTCAACTTTGTTCCTCTTTTGAACTACATTTCCAGTACCTGTCTTCTTTGCTAATTCCTTTTACCTACTAAAATGAAATTATGGTCTTTTGATCACACTTGTGATATTTAGTTGCTAGACACAACCTTCCCTCTCCTCAACCCTTCACTTTGTAAGACAACAATAAAGATGT